CGTGCTTGACAAAACATTCACTCATTCATTTTCCGATCCGTTGATCCACACAAGGGTTGCGGGGGGTGCTGTCCCAGCTGTCTTCGGGCAGTCGGCGGGGGACACCCTGAACCGGTTGCCAGCCAATCGCAGGTCACACAGAGACGAACAACCATCCGCGCTCGCGCTCACACCTAGGGACAATTTTGAGTGTTCAATCAGCCTGCCATTTATCTTTTTGGAATGTAGGGGGAAACTGGAGTACCCGGAGAAAACTCACGCAAGCCCGGGGAGAACATGCAAACTCCACACAGGTAGGCCGGAGCTGGAATTGAACCCGGAACCAAAGCTTTGTTGTCCCCTCTGTCTCAATCAGGCTGCCTCCCCGTGCCGCTATTCAATCAGAATAAAAGAAATCGAATTCCTCTGACGTCGACTCCTTCTGAGAATAACTTCTTCTCTCACACCGAGTTCATGCCACCTAACAACTCACCTGCTCCTTGTGGTGCACCAGGTCAAGTATTCATTCAGGCTCTGTTTACTTTTACTGCAAGAGTGTTAGAACACCCAGTGAGAAAAATGAATGTGTCATAAACTTGGATAGTAAGTCCTCTTCACCATAGGAGCCTCCAAAAACATCACCAATGTGAGGGCATTAGACTGAATGTTACTTACCAATATTATGGAACGACTGGCTGCTCACAAGCAAACTCTTCCTTTAACAAAGGGTTTCTTGAGAATGACTTTCTCCTCAGGTGCCTATGGGTCTTACCAGGCCTCAGGTTCTTCTTATGACGTTCATCCAAGTCACCAGTGGAACAATCGGGACATGGCACGATCTACTCAGTCTCCACAACATGGCAGCTTTCGACCTGCACCAACGATGAGATCTTACGCGCCTTTACCATATCCGTACAAAGCTGGAAGTAAAAAGTGGGTTTTGTCTGTTGCCATTGCCATGGTCGTCACTGCAACAGCACTGTGAACGTTAAATGGCAGCACACGCCTTATGTATAACATGAACATTGTGATCAGTTGTTGAAAATTTGGTTTGAGTTTTGTTTCGTTCTCAGTTCGAAGATGGGAACACCCGGCAACCTTGAGAGACAACAGGCTTCCGGATCAATATTCGCTACCAGACAGAACCAGTATCAACCATCTTCCAGCAGTCAGAGTGCCTCAAGCAAGCAGACACCTCATCACGGGTTCTCTCAGATGGGCCAACAATCATCTTGTAGGCCGGCTAATCCCGCACAGTTCAGATCTCTGCCTCGTCCCGTCGGTCCACCTAGCGGGCCAGCTGCTCAGACACAAAACCAATGGAATTTTACGAGCAGTTTTGGACCGCAGAAGCCCACCTTTGTGGGGAAAAGCAGTGCAAGTACACCCCAGACTACAGGAGAAACTCAAACGGTATCAAACACTTAACATGCACTATATCAATATGTTAATAAGTCAATGCAATCTCTGTATTTTCTGTACTATTTTTCTTTGTTGAGCAGAAAAGCGTTCCCAAAAAAGCACCGTTTGACAACTCACTCAGGATTTTGACTGCAGTCATCGACGGCATGAAACACTGGAGCCAGTTTAAAGACAAAGTCATGTGTTTTTTTGAGATATTTGGTTAGTTGCTTGTGGATCACAGTTGCCTCTCCTCTCATCTCACAACCATGTTAACATTCCAGCATGTGCTCTCCCATCAGCCACTCTTGATTCCGCTGTCACAATTGGTCGCCATGGAGCCAAAAACTTTCTGTTGAGAGATGGCAAGGAGGTTGTGCAGTGTCTCTTCTATGAACACGTGAGTTGGGAATATGCATTACACAGTACTCGGTGCTTCATTCTGGATGTCTGACCCCCCCAAATTGTGTCGTTTTGTATAAAACAATGCAACAACTTGAGTTATTTAATACAAAACAACCCAGAGTGTTTGGTCACTTGGTCCATTTTCTTTTTTACCCAACTGTTTTGAGAATTGAGCCCATAATCACCCACTTACTTTGGTACATTTGAAGACAGAAAGTGCGCACAATGCCAAGGTATTGACATCGTGACTTTTTTTTTTTTTTCAGGAGCAAGAGCTGCCTCGCCTTATCCGTGGTCAAGTTTACCGCTGTGTCGGTAACTATGACCGCGTCAGAGATGTCCTGGTGTGCATGTCAATTCGAGCAGCCAAGCCTTCAGAGGTCAGAAATGCTCAGGAGGCCATCAAAGCCTGCGACACTCACATGCGCAAACTCGTCAGATTACTTCATGAAGCCTGACAACTGAAAGTGTCGGAAGAGCGAAGAGCAATATTTTCACATGGTTATTGTTTTATAGCATTATACACATTTACAGTGTATATATTTTTTTATATAAGGTTAAAAATTGTTTATGTTGTCTTCGTTCTGTTGTATGAAAACAAGAATACTGTATTTACACAGTTGCATTCACTTGGCTGTTTTGATTATATTCTTGTGTCTTTCTTGGCAATTCATTTAAAGGAAATGAATGTTACCAAAAATCATTGTGTATTTTTATTACAAAGAAAACCACAGAACAGCAAACAATGTTAACAGATTACTGCAAACACAACAAAGTCATCTCTCCAAATACAATTTCAAAAACAGGCAGTTAAGACCAACGATATAGCAAGTACTGTACAGTAATCTTATTTACAGCGACAACAAAGGGAAAAAAAAGTCTAACCTACCAAAACACGTTCACCAGTGCTGAGACTCTTTACACAAAGAGGTTTTTAACAAAAAGGGGGGCAAAACAGACCCGTTGCAATCCCACCAGTCAGTCCCACAGTATGAGGTCCAAACAGTTGTTCTTCACAACCTCTTTTTTTAATATGGCACCCTTAAAATGAGCATTTCTTGCGATCGGGATAGGGCATTATAGGGACCCGAATGCTGAAAGTTAAACCCATCCACATTTAATACAAAACAATGTATGAGCTCACACACTGAAAAGGAAGTTTAGCTTGATGAAGTGGCAGTGTGCAGGGAAAGTAACTGCTGAAGTAGCAGTTTTGTGGGAGCACGCTGGCAGTTTTACCGTATTTTAAGACAAGTAGGGCCATGAAAGAGCAGCGTTCCAATCCCCTCGTCACCCCCACACACATACACACGCTAGAATAATGTGCTCGGATAAGAAAGGTTTGATTTGTACAACTCCTTGCTCAACCACTCAAAAGGGTCAAAGAGATCAATGATTCCAGGAAATAAGATCAGATGTTTTGTTACAACCTTTACAGCAACAACAATTTAAAAAGATTCTTCACTTTGATATAAGTGGCATAGATGCCTCTTGCCATAATTGAACTACCTGATTTGATCTTCTCACCATTACAAGGATTATAAAACAACTCCTTTTTCGCCTGTAATTTAGTTTCAGATCGGAATGGTATGATACTGCATCAAACATGTGAAGGAAGAAGAAAAAAACGTATTCCACGATTTTTTTTTTCAGTAGAAATGCTGTGATGGTGGAAACGACAACCTGATAACGGTATTGAACACTTGTCTTTGTCAAAGGCACAAGTTGGTCACATC